ACAATATTTTATAATAAAATTGTGATTCAATTATTTCATACTGCTAAAAATTACTACCGATTTAGCATCCGATAGAAAAAAAAATTTCGATCAAACCACAAATACAAAACAATTTTACAAACACTAGTGAAAAACAAAAACCTACAATGGTTGTTGTGACATGGCTTTCAAATTAATATTTTCGGAAAACTCAATTGGATAGTTAACTCAATCATCATCAAAGTTAACAGTCAACTTTACTTTCCTAGAAGTTTCTTTTGCAGAAAGTTGTTATTTTAGTTGTTTTGAAACTTTTAGAAATATAGTTGTCTAAATAACCAAAAGTTGAAGCTAGAGACTACAGAGCCATTGTTACTTTATTAAAAAAAAAGTTAACTTTGGTTCATAGCAAAAAGGGAATACAAACATACATAAACAACAATAAGGGATTGGCCCACTGAAAAGGAAGGTTGTTGATGAACTAATGAATACAAAATCTTTAGCAGGAAGTTTACGGATTATGTAAGACAATAATCATATATGAGGACCGTAATCATAAAAGAAATAGTAAACTTACTTCTTTTTGCCAGTCGGTGTGATACGTAACCCAAATTAGGATGACGGTCTGGCAGATGGTGCCACTCAACAAACCGGTCCATATTCCCTAAAAAAATGCACGGCAACACAAACTCATGATCATCGTCCATCAATCCCACTTTTTAATGCACTAGAGAAAACGGAAGGTAAAATAATGATGATGTAAAAAGCAAGAAACCCTATCATACCGGTCGGTCGGACCGGAAATGCTTGTAATTGAATCTAAAATGGTAGGTGATTTTAGCGGTAGAAAATGGTTCAATTACCATTAAACCACTGTTTTGATATAAAATACCCTATCATTTACTTTTACGGTATAACCTCCTGAACCTCCATTTTGCCCTTACATTTAATATGTTCCCTTATTTGGTAATGCCTACATTTCTCAAATGCCTACATTTAGGCTAATGACTCGTTTTGAAAATGACTCAAATGCCTACATTTAGGCTAATGACTCGTTTTGGAGCGAGCAGTTGTATCCTGTTATTAAAAATCAATGCATTAAAAAATGTGATTTTATGTAAACGTATTTTGGTGATGTAAAAGTATAAAATCATACTTTTTTAAACTTTAAAATGTAGATTTTGACTATAATTGTAAGAGAAAAGTGTGATTCTATTTAGAAGTGTTTTAGTGACCTAGAAAGCACAAAACCATAAGCTTTTAAACTTTATAACACGATTTTGACTGCATTGGTTAAGATATTATGTGGGTAATAATTATCCATTTCTTATTACCAAGTAATAAAACGAGACTGAGAATTGTGATAGTTAAATAGTGTATTGCGGTGAATTTATGTATCATATGTGAGAAATTCGATGCATTGTAAAATCTCTTGTGCATGTATGATTAATTATGTTAGTAAGTTTTGAAAAATTTAGTTATTATTTTGCAAGAGAATATACAATTTCAACTCAATTATTTCGGCTATTAAAATTTGACATATAACAATTTCTCATGTTGAATAATAATTTATGTCACATCAAAAAAAATTATGTATTTTGTATGAAAAAAACGATGTATTCTCTTAGCTCACAATAATGTGAAATGGGTGATACTTGAGCAATTCAATCGGTCAAAAGTTATATTCCTAGTCTATACCCGATATTACTTACTACGCTGCAGGCATGGGGATTATATATGGCAATTGGAAAGGTAAACTATTATTATTACTTTTTAGGGTTTTGGGAAAGCAAAAGAAAGAATAAATAATGGTGTACTTTATTCATGTAAATTACCTACCTTAGCACCCATCTTGAAATGAAAACCCAGAAGAGCGCCAAATGGGACTCCAACAACGTAGTAGCAGATCACATTCACATAAGCAACAAAAGCTTGCCAGCCGCATCCCACCGCCACTCCTGCACCGATATTTCTTCGTTAAAGACAAAGAACGATACCCATTATTCTTAAGGAAAAATGAAATGTTATATAATTGACATGCCTGAGAGGACTGGTTGAATTCCGTTGAAGATGATGGTAATGGCCAGCAACGGACACAGATCGGAGACCGCCGCCGAGACAGCTGGGCCACCGGTGAAAGCCAGACCGATGACGTCGCGGAATACCATCACTAGAATCGCCAGGACCACCGACACCAAGAAGGAAACTCCGGTCACCATCGCCACAGAAAACGCCGCCGATTTGGGATGCCCGGCACCGAGCTCGTTGCTCACTCGAACACTGTGATTAATTAAACATATCTTACGTCAACTTTACTCAATCGGCCAGTAATGTTCAACGAAGACCACGTGTGTGTTTGGTTGCATGATACACCAAGAAAATATATCATGGAATTATTATGAGATTACATACATCACACTGTGAGATTTCAACTGAAATCTCTTGTTTGACTGTGCAAAATATACATCATTAATTCGGAACTTTGAGATTGCTGCAATTTCTGACAATATGATTTGTCAACCGTGAAATGTATTTAATCGATCAGAAAATATACTTTGAAAAATATACTTAAAAAACAATGAAGTTAATTAGTCCCATGATATTATCTAATTATCTAATCGTACCTAGACTCGTATCACTTTCGATGAGAAGGGTATTTTTTATATAATCCACTCACCTAGTCAAGTCGATCCATTTAATTATTTAATTTTCCAACGGTTCATTCTCATTGGATCCATTAACTGTCCCCCGCTACTAATTAGTGAGGAATTAACTAATTAATTAGGAATCCAAAGTGTCTCCAAAACGCAATGAATGTGTGTTTCACCAACCTTGCAGCCGCATTGAACCCCATGGAAATCATGAAGAACCAACCCATCAGCGTCGCGCTGCAACATATAGTAAGAAAATTAACTTTTTTGTAGGGACAATCCATAATGAGGAGAGAAAAACGACAGAAGTAATTCAAAGCCAACTGATCTTGGTGTTTTTTGACCCGACCCGACTCACCAAATGGATAGAGAGTCCAAGGACAGCTCCGGATTCTCCAGCATTCCGGCGAGCAAAACCAGGACGTCCAAATACCACTGCTCCAGCGCCAGCATCACCCCCGACGCCACCGACAGCTTGAAGAAATCCCACAAACCGTGGAACGCCTGCACCGAGAACCCGGTCCACGTGTCACGACACGTCTCGCTCCGGACGATGTACCAGAACTGTAACCCAACCAGAATCCACCACGACAGGCTCAGCGCCAGCGACGCCCCCAGCAGCCCGACGCCGAGCTTGTAGGCCACGACCCAGCTCATCCCCAGGTGGACCAGTAACACGGCCACGGAGATGTAGGCGTTGGGCATGACGATGGACTGGGCCTGCAGAAACTTCTGGATCGGGAAGTTGGCCGCGTACGCGAATATCTGCGGGATGAGCCCGTACACGTACAGCCCAGCAGCCGACGCGATCTCTTCCGACTGGCCCAATAACATCAGGATCTGCTTCGCGAACACGTACAGGCCGATGATCCCGAACCCGACGAGGGACAACACTACGAACGACCGCTGCAGATAAATCCCCAGCATGTCGTACTTCTGCGCTCCGTAGGCCTGCCCGCATAGTGTCTCCACCGCGCTCCCCAGCCCCCACTGCGTTTGGTAATTATATTATTATTTAATCAAACCAAGTTGCTCGACTGAGAGGAAAGGAGAGAGAATATAGGAGTCCGGAGGGTTGTATTAGTATACCATGATGCCGTAGGCGAAGAGCTGGATGCCGTTGTTGGCGAGGGAGGCGCCGGCGAGCTCGAGGTTGCCGAGGTGGCCGGAGAAGATCTGAGTAAACATGGACATCATGAAGCCGGTGATGTAGACGACGATGGAAGGGGCGGCGAGGTGGAAGAGGAGTTTGAGCTCGATCCGGGAGCCGGAGGCGAGGCGTTTCAGGAGGGGCGACGTGGTGTCGGAGAGTTTGGTCTCGAGCTGCTCGCTAGCCTCGGCGCCGAACTCTCCGAGGGAAGAATAGCGGCGGGGGAGGAGCGGTGTGTGTAGATCGGAGGGTGGTTGGTTGGTGGTGGGATGATGGTGGTCTGCCTCCATGGCTGCGGTAGGGTTTTGATGATTTGTGAGCTAGAGGAGAGTAGAGGGAAAGAAAGAAAGAAAGAGATAAATGAAAGAAAAGAAGGACAACTATCCAATGGGTTTTATTTGGCACTGGAAGAGTGGAAGTACTGATTATGGAAGAGCTTTTTTTCTTCTTCCAGCATATGAAAAGTGGGGAAACTTTATAAAGCTAAAAGGGTCAGATCTCGAACGTAGAAAACCATGATTAATTGGAGCCAAACTTATGAGAGTCCTACTCCTAACACGTTGGACAATAGTTTAGCTCAAACCCGGGTTGGAGGAGCTGCCTGCAACCAGCTACGTGGCTCATAGGGATTGGTTCAAAATACATTAATGTGCTTTCCATTAGTAACGGAAAGTAAACGGCAATTTTTTTTGTTTTTATTTTTGGAAATCAAGCCCCAAATAACAAAATACAAAATAAACTATTTATATTTTGGATTCAAGTTATGGTATGGGTACTGAATTTAGTGTGTACCATGTCTACAGTAAAAAAGTGATGCTAATTAAATAATGTATTAATTGAGAAATTCCAGTATAGTACAATGTTCTCAATTTTATTGGATGAATCCTAAACTATAGTTATATAACCACGAAACCTAAATAAACTAAAAAATAATAATTAATTGATTCGCTGAAGTAAATTAGGTTTGGTTTCCTGTGCTTAATCCCAAAAGTTTAAGCATATTGTTTAAGTCATTCTATTGGTTGATAATGGATTAGATAGTTAATAAGAAATTGGTAGTTAATATGTAATTGAGAATAATCAGATTATTATGCAAATATAATTGATATTAATAATTAATTATTATCTTTCTCTCCCCTCGTATAAATTTCTCCATAACCCTCTCTCCACTACAATTATTACCGACTTGAATTTAATTAAAAAAGTATGATTTTTTTGTAAGATATTTTAATGTTTTGTTAGAACTTTTTGTAATAAATTATAATAATTTGTGTATTATAGATGTATTTTATTTTCTATTTTATATTATAGTGTATGAACGGTTCGGTCAACAATCAATTAACAATTTTATAACAATTAAGCGTTGAACCATCAACCATTAACTTTCTCGGTTGAGCACTCGATATCTAGTTCCGAGAACATTCAACTCTCATAAATATCAAATTTGCATATTGATGGGTACGCAAGACCCTATTTAATTTGTAGTTTCGAAACTCGTGGATTGTATAATTCAATAACTAATAAGTACATTGCGCATAGAAAGAAAAAAAAAACTAAAGTACGCTAGGAACTTAACTGTATATATATAGTACTAACTGCCTAAGAATACCGGACTACCGGCGTAACAAATCCCGACGAAGTACCCCTGGCATTCGCACACGTGGCGGTCGCCTCCTTATCGTCACGGGCACCGCCGACGTAAGTAAGCTTCACGTCATGCATCGTAATCCCAACGCAGGGGTTTGCCTTGCTGCAGTCAAACCTCACGGCGACCTTGCTCCGCGACGTGCCACGTATGCTCTTATACCTAATGTCCTTGACCTTGACCCCGGAGGCCTGACGTGGACAGTGCCGGCCACCGGGGCAGTAGTTCTGGTCGATGAGGATGGGGTTCTTGACGCTGTCAAAGAGCACGTGCTGGAAAAGAACGTTGGTGACGAAACCCAAGCTGGGCCGGGCCCAAGTCTTGATCCGCAGGCCGTTAGTCGTCTCCACGAAGTGGACTCTCTTGACGGTAACGTTCTGGACGCCCGGCTCCTGTAGCTTCCAGCCCAGGCTCCCGATGCTGATGCCGTGGCCCGGCCCACATGCCACTCGCTCGATCCATACGTTGCGGGACCCGGGGCCCATGGAGATGCAGTCGTCGCCCGTGGAGATGGTGGAGTTGAGGACGGAGACGAAGGTGGACTTCTCGATGTGGATGCCGTCGGTGTTGGGGCTGGTTCCCAGGGCCGCGACGGTGATGTCGCGGAGGTTGACGTTTTGGCAGCCGGTGACGGCGATGTGGAACTTCTGGCTGTTCACAGAGGTCAGGCCGTCGATTGCCACGTTCTTTGAGTTGGCGATGTGCAAATTCTGCGTGCAAAAAAAAAAAAAAAAACACACGTAAGCATCCATAACTCGCCTAGCAATTAATAGTGAAATTGTTTAGGTTAAAGCGTAATGACCTAATGAGTAGTGGGAGAAAGAAGCAAAACTTACCATAGCGCCGGTGGGGCAGTCTCGCCGGCCGTCAAGCTTGCAAGACCAAAGCCCGGTGCCTTCTCCGTCAAGTATCCCGCCAGAGATCCTAACGCCATCAACACCGTGAAACAGAATCCAGTTCTTGGCGTTCCCAATGACGGAATAGTCGGACGGAGCAACGAGGGTTCCGTCTATACGCACCAAGATGTCGTTGCTCTTACATGGCCCTTCAAACCTTAGGTCTCGTACGTGAAACCTGCCGTGTGGCACGTAGACGACGGACGGGCGCGGGTCGCTGCATGCTTTCCTCCATGCATCCGATAACGCTCTCGTCGAGTCTGTTTTTGGGTCCGCCCTAGCGCCGTAGTCCGTCACGCGGTACAACGACGACCGGGAGGCAGAGGCGACCGATGCCGCGGCGAGGAATAAGACTACAGCGGCGACAATGAGAGACGAGGACTTTACCATTGGTCGCAAGAGTGAGTGAGTGAGTGAGTGAGTGAGTGAGTGAGTGAGACGTGTAGCACGCACAAACGTGGGAAGGCTACGAACTGTGTGTTGTTGTGTATTACTGGATAGCTAAGGATTATATTTATAGCCAATAAAATTACAGAAGTTACATATATAGAAGTACTAGGATACATAATTACAAAACCAATAAGGACAAGGAATACAACTTAGAGACTTATCCTTAGACAGAAGGAACTCAGACGGTAATATAGGCAATTACTGCAGTTACAAGAGATCATCATATACTAACCACTAAGGACAAGGAATTATTAATTTATGGTTTTGCGGTAGTAATATTAGTTCTACTACTAATTGAGTCTAATAGATAAATTGATTGAGTCTAATTGAAAATGCAGATAATAGGTACATAATTTTTTTCAGAAAAAAAAAGATTACAGATAAATTGATTGAATTTAATTAGTTGAAAGATGAAGTATTGCACTTGTTTAAAGTAATATTGAGTTAAAATATGTGTTCAAATAAATAAAATACAAAATTTAAAATATATATTGAGGCAAATCGTGATAAAACAAAGCAAAGTGAGATAGTGCGGAAATAATATTCATACGACCATATCCCGTCTGATACAACTATGAGTCGGATATTGCCCGTCCAACACGAGGTAGGTCGGGTAATATACCCGTTCAAGTTGCCATGACTGTTATTTTATTGGGGGTGAGGGATGTGAAAAGTGTTTGGGGAGGAATAAAAGACTTCTCATGTTTTACTTTGTCTTTTTTTTTTAGAGAGTTGTTCATTAAAAAAGCGATCGGGCCAAGCCCATACGGAAAAGAACAAGCAGAAAAAAAACAACAAGAATAAGAAAACCAAACAAAAGGCCCGAAAAACACAAGTAGTCTGGCATCCAATAGGGCCCAGACCTGGACCCAAGAACATGTGTGGCTTCCAAACCCTAGTTGCTCATCTGCCTCCTCTGAAGCCTCCATCACCGCAGCCAAAAGACACCATCGCCGTCGCGCTACCCAGCACTGCCGCCGCCACCAGCAACCGCGGCCGCGCTCCAACTCCGAGGAACCCTTTCTGCTAAACCCGGATGGAAGGACGAGGAAGAGAGATCTCCACCATCCCACCCCGGGCCAGTCATCACCGTCGCCCACCGAACTGAACTAGAGGACCACATAAGCCGACCGGTCGCCGACGAAAGCACCAGAGGAAGAAGGACTTCTGTCTTCAAGCTCTCCACCCTAAGTCCGACGCCAAAGGTTGCATCTCCGAAACACCTAGATCTGCAAGGTGAGACAAGGAGGTAGACTAGAGAGAGAAGAGGAAAAGACAAGCTAGATCTGAAACAAATCCGGCCTCCATCGCTTCTTAGATCGAACCATCATCTCCAAATCTGAGCCAACAGATCGGAGGGGAAAAGAATCGTCCCAAAACAGGGGAAGAAGAGGAACCCAACAACGGGGAAGACAACCACCCAACACAGGCGAAAACCTATCCCAAAAGGCAGAAAAAATCAAAAGGCGTGGAAAATAGAAAGAAATCAGGAACAACAGAAGAAAAGCAACGAAAGGAGGGATGGAGGGCTGTCGTCGGAGAGACGCCGACAGCAGCCCCCAAACTCATAATGAGAGGAGCCTCTAGAGAGAAGGCAGAGTGAACAAAAGAGGAGAGAGAGTTAAGTTAAGTTGGTGTTTTTACTTTGTATTCTGATGTTATTATGTTATTATATCAACAACCATTTTCAGCTATTTAGATATATGGTTAATATATTTATTTGGCTCGAACTTTGCTCATTTATAACATCCTGGGGAATCCTTTTATTATTTAACATCGTGGCCCAAACTAATCCTACACTTTACTAATTTGGCCAAACACAAGAGTCGACCGTTAGTTTTGACCGTCAGCCACGTTAGTGCCGAGTCAGCATTAATAAACTTAATATTTTTTAAATTCCACATAATTCCTAAAATTATTATAATTAAATAAAAATTGAAAAACATAAACAACCAATTCCCAAGGCTTCTACCACCGGAATTTGTTACCCAATCTCTTCTTCGTCGTCAACAATGGCGTGAATTTAGAAAAAAATTCAATATTTTAAATTTTTATTTAATTTAATTATAGTAATTTTTAGGGATTGTGTGGATTTTAGGAATTTTCTGAATTTTTATTTAATTTTAACTTTAATTATAACAATTTTTAGGGATCATGTAGAATTTAGGAATTTTTTAAGTTTATTTATGCTGATTGGGTAGTGATGTGGCGGTTGACTGTTAGTCAACATGCTTGACCGTCAAAACTAACGGTCAACTCTTGGATTTGGCCAAATTAATAAAGTGTATGATTAATTCGAGCCACGATGTTATATACCAAAAAGATTGGTCAGTATGAGAAAAATTCGGGCCAAACAAATATATTAACCCTTATATATATATATGGGTCAGACTGGCGTACGTCAGGCGTATGCTATATGTCAGGTACTACTAGTGAGATATCTCTATCTAGACCATGAATTAAATCGAGTTTGGGGTATGATACTATACCCTAACCTCTAATGGATAAACCCCAGGCACCCATTTTCTAAACCCTAACCCAAAGTTTGATTAAATGAAAAACAAAAATTGACCGTTGAGATCGGCCGGAGCTTATCTAACTACATCTAACGGCTAGATCACCTGACGTATACTATACGCCTGACGTACACCAGTATTCACCATATATATATATATATATATATATATATATATATATATATATATATATATATATATATATATATATATATGGTGGCTACTTCGGTGCACTCACTTTTTTGGGTGCATTCAGTGCACCCACCTCTAAAAGTGGTCATAATACATTAAATTTTGAAATTTAATGGGTTGTATTAATCTAAAATGATGATATAACATAGAATCCCAACTAATCAACCCATTACCCTGACCTATTAACCTTCAATTTTGAATCTCAACCCAAAATCCCAAATTGTAAACCCTAACCCTAACCCTAAATTCCTAAACCCTGAATCATTCAAATTAAAGTGAATCATGAATGATTTTTGTACAAATTCATGTGGTTCTTGTTCATCATACCACAGGTGATGATTGACATCGTTTTCACATGAATCACCTGCTCAGAATGACGATTATGAGGCGGGTGCATTGAATGCACCCAAAAAAGTGAGTGCACCGAAGACATAACCATATATATATATATATATATGGTTATGTCTTCGGTGCACTCACTTTTTTGGGTGCATTATATATATATATATATATATATATATGCCAGCTGCCAAGGTAATTGCTTCACTTAATTAATATTTGATCTCTGTCGATCTTATTTTGAAATCTGCGAGAGGAAGATGCAGTACATGGAAATAAGGTACAACAAATGAACTTGAATTAGATTACTCTCCTCCCTTTGTACATGTAATAACAGGAAATGCAGTTGACTTAATATATCAGGACTTGAACATTTCAATTCCAAAGTATTAGATTCCGAACCATGCCTGCAACTCTGTCATCCATGGCTTCCTGACCTTGATTTGCTTCTAGAACATGAACTTGATTGGAACTCTACTCCAACATTTGTACAAGTAATAAGAGGAGAGGCAATTGACTCGTATATCAGAACTTGAACATTTCAACTCAAATTTATCAGATTCATAACCATACACTACCAAAAAAATGTCTTTTGACGGGTTAAACCTATTGCCGAGGGGATAGCAAACCGGTCGTTGAAAGTGCTCACTATTAACGATGACATTTTTTCCCTCGTTGTTTATTATATTTCAAATGACGGTATAATGTATTTTCAATGAGTGGCATCCTGTCGTTGTTACTAAGTGAATTCTGATTGAAACAATTTCATTTAATTTTTAATTTTAATGATAATTAAATAAGCAAAACTGGATATCCCAGATGAATGAACTTGCACTTCCTGTGAATACTATTTCCAAATATTAATAATCATCATCCAATATCCAACAGCAACTACATAAAGCTTAAGAGTAGGAAAGCACTACAAAAACAAGATTACCTAACGTACTTGATATATGAAGCAATCCAAAAACAAAATTCTGGATAGAAACAAAAATTTACAAAAAGTCGATTCACTAGCAGGAGGATCATTCCTTTCTTAGCTTATTGAAGAACTGATCATACTCTGACTCCTTGATATCCCCTACAAGTTCTTGTGTAGCAAAACATTCTCAACTTTCTGAACCTTCGACATTTCTTGATTGTTTTTGTTGAAGCAAGTCTGAGAGTAAACATAAAAAGATCATGAACTCCTACCATATCTATTGCTGAGAAAAGATTCCAAACTAATACAACAATTGCCTAAAGAAACTAGCACTCCATGTTGAATCAAAAGATGGGGTTTTCGAAGACTTTTGATTGGAAAGAACAGAGGATGAAAAAGAAACTAAAAATATTATTAGAATTGGAAGAGAAAAAATCTGCAGAATCAATCTGCTTTTAACAATAGAGTAAAGAAGAAGATGAAGAACAAAAAAAAAAACCAACTCTAGAACCCTTACAACACTTGGTTACCCAGATATATATCACTATAACCCACCCGACTATCCAGATGCTAATCACTATAACCCAAGCTATTGTAGGAAACTAGAAGAACTCAACACTCTTAGATTACCCAGCCTAAACTCCTGTAATCTCCATAGCAAAATCCAGACCCATCAACAACCCAAGAAGAACGCCTCTTTTTGTTGCCGAACTGTCAAGTTTGAGGAGATGGATTTGCAATTCTTAAATAGAGTTTCAGGAAGTTGACTGTTGAGGAAAAGGAAGATGGTGATGATGGATCTTGGAGGGGGAGCAATAGTCGGCGTCTTTTTGCTTTGTAAATGTGTTGTCGGAGTGTGCTTGGAAACAAGCAATTAGCTTTATTTCTCTGCTTTTGGAGCAAGTGAGACAAGGTGAAGGATGACCTCTGAAGAAGCTTTCATCAGGCAAACTTGATTGGGCTGATGAAGCGGGATTTAGTGTGAGCCTAAAGAGTGAGAGCGGGCCAAGATTCCAACAATTTTCCCCTTTATCCAAGACTTGGTGAGTTGAGCTGCAAAAGAAACAAAG